AAACCACAAAGAGATACCACCTCATACCCACTAGGCTGGCTATAATCAAAAGACAGATAATAGGGGCAACTGGGTGGCTCAGTCATTAAGTGTCTGCCTTCGGCTCAGGTCATGATCCCGGGGTCCTGGGATCGAGCCCCACGTGGGGCTCCCTGCTCAGTGGGGAGTCTGCTTCTCCCTCTCCCTCTGCCTGCCTCTCCCCCTGCTTGTGCTCTCTCTCTGTTAAATAAATAAAATCTTTTAGAAAAAAGATAGTAACAAGTGTTGGTGATGACACATTGTTGGTAGGAATGTAAAATGGTGCGGCCACTTTGGAAAATCATCTGGCAGCTCCTCAAAAAGTTAAACAGAGTTATCATATGACCCAGTAATTCCATCCTTAGATATATAACCCAAGGCAAATGAAAACGTGCATGCACACAACAACTTGTATACAAACGGTCAAAGCAGCATTATCCATAATAGCTAAAAAAAAAAAAAAGTAGAAACGCCCCAAATGTCCATCAACTGATGAATGGGTAAATGAAATGTGGTCTATCCATACGATGGAATTGTTTGATAATAAAAGGAAATGAAATATTGATACATGTTACTATAGACACGAACCTAAAACACATGATCCTTCGCGAAAGAAGCCAGTTACAAAAGACTACATACTATGTGGGTCCATTAACATGAAATGCCCAGAACAGACAAATCTAAAGAGACAGAATGTTGATTAGTGGTTGCCTAGGACTGGTGGGGAGGTGATGATGGGATTAGGGGGATGATGGTTAGAGGGGATAGGGCCTATTCTTGGATTCATTGTGGCGATGGCTGAAATCCTGTGAATGTGTTAAAAACCATTGAGTTGTACACTGTTAGTGGGTGAAGTGTATGGTATGTGAATTATTTCTCAATAAAGCTGTTAAAAAAAGGAAAAATAATTACAAATTATGAGAACTAGCCTAATGTTAAAAAATAAAATAAAAACATATGGGGTTAAGATTGAGGAGGACAGGTGGACCCCACTTTGATTTTAGATGAGTTAGTGATTTCTGTGAAGAAGAGGCTGAAAAGTTTGGGAAAGGACTAGGGATGCGAAGAATGAGGGAAGGGGCTGAGCACCAGGCCGTCGGGTTGTCATCTATAACCAATATTCTAGCAGAAGAACTGCTTCAAGCTTCTAATCCTTAGAGCTTTTATGTAACTATATGTGAAGAAAGCATTGGGGTTAGTCACAAGGGAAATAAGATCGTTTCAGTCCTCAAGCAGATTTGTGATTTAGGGGAGAAACAGTTAATTACACATAACTCAAGGGAAGAAGCAAATATGATGATGGCTATAAATAGCTAATCTCAAGTTTCCAAGTCAGAATATCTGTGTCACAGTCCTACTTTTTGAATCTCACCTTTGAGCAACAGAAGGTGGGCCTCTCAGGTTTAGGGGCTGTGATTAGACTGTTTCTCAGGTTCATCCTGAGTTTAAAAATAGGCTTTGGGGGTGGGATATAGAAATTAACCACTAGTTAAGAGCATCACTGAAATGGAAAACCCACCCAACTGATGGAAGACATTTTCATAGGCTGATATGTCTCTATGGCTCTGCTGCCCAAAGGCACTTAATTTCTTGTTTTTCCAGGTGAACCCAAGCCTGATCAGTCAGTTGGAGCAGAATGACTTAAGTTTTGTAGGTCAGGATGTCGATGGACAGAGGATGGAAATCATTGAACTGGCAAGTAAGTGGCTCTTTGTTTTTGAAAATTTTCATGGTAACCTAACGTCTTTTTGTTGTTATATAGGAAGGTATAATTTGTCGTTATATGTGAAGCCATAAGTTGAGACTCGTTTTGTTTGCTCTCCTTTTCCTCTCTCCTTTGAAATAATATGCAACTAAATAGAAATAATATGACTAAATATAAAGTACATGAAAAAAACCAGACCACTTATAATTCTAATCATTTGGGGGCCCACTAGTCTGAATCTACCCGAAAATGATACGTTGTTCCGGGTCTACCAGTTCTACTAGCAGTATGCTTCCTCACCATCCCTGCCCCCTTTCTGGGCCTTCTCCTGTTGCTAGCCTCTAGGCTAGTTGCTCTGGAAAAGGCAGGCGGCCCACTATTGAGTAGCACTCTGCTTTCTCCCTCTTTTGAGGAAGAATGGCCCAGTGCCCTCGCCCCTACTTGTGACTGGTTTTGACATCTGTTGTGTGTGGGATCCGGCCCCTCATTCTACCTGGAGTCTGCCTTTCCGTACCACTTGTGCTCCATGGTCAAGTGTGGGCCAGTCGTTTAACTTTCGAACACTAGTCACTACACCCACAGAAGTTCTTAGTGAGACCAAACACAGCACAAAGGGATAGGGATTTCTGTTGGGGAAGATCGCTGAAGAAGTTGTTTGTGTGGAGGCTGGGACACCCTCAAGAGCCTAGGCACAAACCATACACCATTATTGATGAGACAGAGGACAAGGACACTATTCTCATTCAGAGCTGCAAATACATAGTAAGCCCATGCTTACCGCTGGTCCCAGCTCTTTCTCGAACATTACTTACTACCTGGCCCTTAACAGAAGTGTTTGCCAACCCCTGTTGTAGACCCACACATATATACTTCATTTAACTGACTTGAACCTAACATGTTCTGGTGCCTGCTTGACCTGTTTGTCTATCTGGATGTTCTCCTAGCAATCCCAGCTCAACTTATTTAAACCTAAGTTACATGCTTTCCAAACTAGCTGATCCTCCCGTCTATTTCTGCTAAGTCATGCTCAATCTCCTTGTTCAGGGTTTCTCACCCTCGCCGCCATTGGCATTGGGAGGGGGATCATTCTTTATGGTGGGGGCGGTCCTGTGCACTGTGTGATATTGGGCAACATCCATGGCCTCTACCTACCGGATGCCAGTAGCATCGTCCCCACCTCCCAATGTCACAACACCCCAAACCATCTCCAGACATTGCCAAATGTCCTTGAGGGGCACATTCGCCCCTGGGTGGGAACCCCTGTCCTAGACCATCAGGCTTAAAATCGGCCTTATTTAGTTCTTCTTCCCCTCTCTACCCCCAACTTAAAATCAGCTGTCAAGTCCTGTAGATTCTGTCTCTAGAAAGATCGAGCTGCGATTGTATTCCCATCCCTCTCACCCTCATCCCCAGCGCGTGGTGACTCCGACCCAGGGTCCTCCTAAAGCTCCTTCCTGCCTCCAGGCTCTCCCCTCGGCAGTACCTCCTAACGAGGACAGGGCTCTGAGTGTGCAGTGCATGTGACACAAATTCGGTGGATAAACCACGCTCATTTATCAAATGCTTAGTTTGTACGGGATACTGTAAAAATGGTAACCTGATTTCCTAGAACCTACCTTTTCAACCTGTCTTCTTTAGGCTACAGGTATTCTGGACTTACTCTTCTAAATTTCCTACTTCTTTTACCATCTGAGCCCATGTCACCATCCGCTACTTCAAATTCCTTTTCTCTGCCCCTTTCCTTTTCTGTCTGGAATCTGTTCAGGTACTTCAGGAGTCCCAAGCAGGGAGCAGAATTGAAGTTGGCGAGAGCTTCTCTGAATGCAGTGACATGTTACCTGGACCCTCAAAGAAGGAAAGCAGTGGACACTGAGTGCACACTCACTAGATGCTTCTGCCTAGACCCCTTGCTAGGGACTCTGCGTGCCTTATGTAACTTAGAAGACAGATGATGTTATTCCCACTTTATAGAGATGTCCAGCTCATCACAGGTGGGGCTGGAGCCAAACCAGGTCCTGCTACCCCCTCGGTAGATGTTACTGTTCCTCTTGTTTGCACTGGACACGCCACCTAACGTTATCAGTCCATGCCCGAAGTTTTGAATTAGAAGATGAGGATGTATTTCCTGTAGTCTCTCTGATGGAAATGCCCATCCTTTAGAATTTTTATAGTGTGGATCACTGGTCAGGGTTGAAGTCTCTTAAATCTTTCTGGTGTGTGAGAGGGCAGAGAATTTCATAAGCAGATTGCTGTTTGCTTACTTCATTCAAGTACTTACTTTCTTTTAATTCTCCTGGCTCTCATTATTGTGAGCAAATACTTAGATGCCTCTTTCATTGCACGGATTTAGATTCCCATTGACACTTTTGAATGAGGGTTGGAAAGGAAACGAGAGACGCTGTAAAATCCTGCCATTTTTTTAAAAAGCCAATTGCAAGGAAATTCGTTTTATTAAGGAAAATTCCCCAGAAGATTCTGATCTTGGCTACCCCTTAGAAGCATTTCTGTGAATGTCTACATTTCCTAAAGGAGTTCTAAAAGGAACAACAAAGGGGCGCCTGGGTGGCTCAGTCATTAAGCGTCTGCCTTCGGCTCAGGTCATGATCCCAGGGTCCTGGGATCGAGCCCCACATCGGGCTCCCTGCTCCGC